TTTTTTCTTCATATATATATATATATATATATTCAGAGGGAGAGATTTACTTCCTATTGGTAGAATGTTATTCCATTCTTCATGCCAACTCAATAAAGATGATGATGAATATTAGGAAAGAAATATCTTGAGGAATCTGTGAGCATCTTGAGGATGAATAGAACATCGAATATATTTGGAAAGAGACAAATACATATAGAAATTAGATAGGATGAGGGAATATTGATGTGATGAAGGAGGGAGAATATTATTACAGACATACGACGGGATGTGCATAGCATGGAATACATAAGAGCCAAAAAGGTATTGAAAAATTTTTAATAATAAAGATGCTGGTTTGCTTTGTTTATTTATTAGAAAATGCCTTGCACTTATAGGCCAACAATCGCAATTCAAATGCAAAAACTATAGTGCTTTTATGCATATTCCATTATTCGTGTCATTCTTCATGAACAACTCAATAGAGATCATGAAGAATATTAGGAGTGAAAGATTAAATGTTATGCGTTATCTCTAATTAAAGATTAACTTACCTGTTTTTTCTTTCCAACATGGGACTGCCTCCTCCAGATGATTCTCCTGCTGATGATTCTGTTGATCGTGAACGAGATATTTTTGGAATTTCCAAGTAATCAACTCTTGAATTTTTGCTACATGAGATTTCGTTATAAATGTGAGTGTCCGTTGCTCCGGATGGGTTCTGAAATTTCCAAAATAGAGAATTTCACAATAAATTGTTGTAGCTAAAACTTTTCATGTATTTTCATTTTGAAAAATTAATTCCAATGAAATTTTAAGGTTGTTTTGTTGAACCTATTAATGCTCAAATCACAATTTTCCTGCAAATCTTTGTATATTTATATTAGATAATGAAATCCCTAAAAGAAATCTTATCCGAAAACTTTGGGGTATATTTGAAAAGTGGAAAGAGAAATTTATAAAATCATGGAAAGCATTTAAAATTTGTCGAAAACTAATATAAGTTTATTTTTATACGAAGTTATATAAACTATAGAAAAATGTTATACTTGCAAGTTCATTCACAAAAATATTAAATGTATGCAAACTATGTATACAAGTAATAATAATTAAAAAATTATCACTTTTAATTTGGGTATTAAGGGAACTGCTTTAATTGAAATATGAAAATATTTAAATATTTTCTTAATATTTCTTAATTCAAAAGAAATTACAGTTTTTACAAATTTCATGTACTCTAAACAGAGCTGCTCTAATTTAGGAAGTGCGAAAAATAACTATATAAATTAGATAACATTAATTTAATAAATATATAGTTATACAAATAATACTGATGTAGTTAATGTAAGTAAATGTGAATGAAAAAATTTTAGTAAAAAAGTAAATAACCAAAAGAAAGGAATTAAATTTCATATCTAAAACAAAAAAATTTACGTTTTATATCCCGCATGATGTGAAGAAAAAGGCATTAAAATAGAACGTGTAAAAATATTGTATAAAAGAAAGTTAACAATAGTTAATATTGGTCTAGATACAGTCATAAGTAATATCAGTTAAATTAATGCTGATAAGTTAAGAAGGATAAATAACCAAGGAATGTAAAAATAAAATTATCAGCTCGCAAAAAATTTTATATTTACGATGACCTAATTTTATATTACGATTACGGAATTATTTATTACCTAAAGAAAACAGCTCTATAATGTACGTCGTGTAAGAAATGTGTGAAAAAATTTATCAACTATGCAATAAAACGTTGCAAATACAAGAATAAGAAATGAAATTAATTTTTAAAATAAAAGCAGTCAATTACACGTAAATAGAAATACTAATAAACACATAAAAAACAGTTTAAATTTTATTTATCGATATTTTTAAGAATATTAAAAAATAATTCATATTACCTTAAATATCTCACTAAATTTTTAACTCACTAGATTCCAAAAGTATTTTTAACTTAAATTAAATAAATTGCCTCTCCAATGAATAAAATTTGAATGTTAACTTCCTAGGGGATAACAGGATATAGATGCTTTTATTTTCAGGCAACAGCGAAATATTTCATCGATTGTTTTCACTAATCTGAATAGATATGATAAGTTAGTAAAAGTAGTCTTTCTTTTCTCAACACCGTTATCAAATGATAAATCATTTATTTTTTATTTATTGCAGTTCTCAAATGGTGAATTTAAAGTTCAGTTTCATGCATAAATCGTGTAAATGATAAATCGTGAATCATGCATAAATCGTTCTTAATTTAGAATCATGTTTATTAAGGGATCGAATTACTTCCATAGAATTAGTTAAAAGTAGATATAGTTAATAGCGATACAATAAAAATAACTATAAACTTATTATCTATAATATGATAGATTTCATTTATCTTCTAGAACAATGAGATTTTATTTGCACACGACTTGAGTTAGAAATTTCATCGAATAAAAAAATTGCATTTTCAAAATTTTCTTTCTCAATAAATATGCTATTACATAAATTTACTATGCGAGGCAACATTTTTATGTAACGGAGCTTTTGAGACATTTATTATGATATTCTTCAGAAAGTTTTATGTTTGTAAAAAAATTTATTAGTTATTCTCATTAAGAGATGTTTCTAAAGATGCTTTCGAAATCACAAAACGACAGATTTTAAAATTTATCCAAATATTTGTGTTAAATTTACATAAAATAAAAAAATTAAATAAACATACAAGCTATTTTTATTCTTTTAAAAGAACTAATTAAAAAGAATTGTTAACGATAACTGGTAGTGTTCGAAAGAAATGTTTTTAAAAATATCTAGGCATAAAGCATTTAAATTTATTGAAATTGAAGATGAAATGCAGTGAAGTAGATAAATATAATTAGGTAATTTATTTTTTTAAAAAATAATTAAAAAATAAGCAATGGGATATAAAAAATTTTTTTAAAAAAATTCAATAATCCCAAATTGTCTGATTTCAAACTTCATGACTTTCAAGTTAAATAAGTTTAAAATAAATAAGATTATTAGGTATAATAAATAAATTATTATGACTATTAATTTCCTCTATTTATGAAATTAAATTCAAAATTTGAATTACTTTGATGAGATTTTCGAATAAAATTTAACGATGGTGATAAACAACAAAATAATTATTTTGCATTAAACTTAATCATAATCAGTAAGAGAACTTCAGATTAATTTAAATATGTGACACATTAGTCTAAAATTTTATTTTGGTTTAATTAATGCAAAGATAGAAAATCTGTAAAAAAAATAACATAAAATACACACATTTATTATTTATTGTTGAAAGCAAAAAAAAAAAATTGGTGGGGAGAGTTATAATTTCTTAAAACTTTGCGTATTTAAGTTTGGGAAATAGATTTCAATTTACTTTTCTGTTTTGAAAACATACATTTTAACTCTCCCCACCCAACTAGCTAAAAACATTATAAAACTATAAGAAAAATATTATAATTATTTTCATAAAAATAGTATTATTACTTTATATAATTATTAAAATGGCAATTAAATAAACATGTAAAAAAGGCTCTTACATTTGATATATCAGTTGATGGTTCATTGTCTGATATTGTTTCCAAATCATCCTCCACAAACTGGATATTTTCAGGCCTAACCATTAGTGGTATCGTAACATGGCGATCCGCCATTTTTCTTCAAACCCAATTGCACCTGCATTTAAAAATCATTCATTTAATATTTACATATGCACGGTATTTTGTACTCAGCACCCTTAATGTTGACATGTCTTAAAGTCCCTTGTCAAAACTGAAGCAAAAACAGTATTAACTTTTTATAGTGTCGAGTAATAATTAAGCGGAGAAAAAGCAAAACGTTATTGAAAAAAATCTGTAGCATCAGAAGAGAAAAAGGCAAAATGAGATAACCCAAAACCAGTTTGATTGCTTCGTGAAACACGGAGATTTTCCTAACAATCACCTTTCAACTTCTCTTTGATTCCTACGCTATTAAATGAATTTCGATTTCTTTATTTTTTCACCCATTTTATTTATCCACCAGTCGATTTTTTTTCAGTTTAGCTTAGTTAAAGAACAGATCACAACTTAGGTCATGAAATAGATTATTTCTGAAGAAAGATGATGAGGGAAGAAATCAAATCTTTTCTATTTCTTTTTAATTTCACCCATTTTATTTATCCACCAGCCGATTTTTTTTTTCAGTTTAACTTAGTTAAAGAACAGATCATAACTTAAGTCATGAAATAGATTATTTCTGAAGAAAGATGACGAGGAAAGAAATCAAATCTTTCCATTTGCGAATTTTTGGTTGTATATATATGGTTCAAATTCCAGATGTCGATAGACAGAAATGAGACCTAAAATCAAAAGAATGCATCTTCACTGGCTACAATAAAGAAAAGAAAAAATGAAGAATTTATTATCCCTCAAACTGGAATATCGTTAGCTGGTCATCTTTATCTAAAATCAATTTTTAAACAAACCTACTCAAAATAACTTACGCTCAACTGAATCCCAAAATATGGAAACAACTGAAATAAACAGTGTTTTATCTAAAAAAGAATCAGGCACCTTCATAGAACTAAGTGATGAAGGTGAAGATACTTCTTCTGAAGATATAAATACATCTATAATTTAGGGTACCAAGAGGAAGAACATATTACTATGCAAGTTTAGAATTGTGTACCAACTAAACCTTCGTACAATTCAAGATCCGAAAACTTACGAAAGCAAACTCCTATTCTACATGTTGCCAAGCAAACTCCTATTCTACATGTTGCCAAGCAAACTCCTGAAACTTAGAAATGGAAAGTCGCTTTTGAAGGAGAAATTCAAGCTCATCAATGAAACGGCACGTGGGATTTATGAGAAATAAATTCGGTCATAGATAAAATTCCATCGTAAGTTTACAAATGAAAAACTCTACATTATTAATACATTAAGGAATTTATTTATTTCAAAAAGAGTGATTATGCTTGTATGTTATCCATATAAATATTCAGTTTATTACACATTGAAATAAATTTGAGAACAAGAAAAATGATGAGAAATCAAAATATTAAAAATAAATCGTAATTTACTCAGCAAAATTTAGTTTTGTCTTCATTAACATACGGCAACCTTAAAGAATTAACGTCTATATATTTCATAAAACTAAAATAAAACAAATAACCCAACGATTGCATAGAAATTCATAAGTTCAATTAAGAATAATAAAAGAAACCGATAAACTAATAAATTTTACTTGTAGTTCTGCTTTTTGCCGTAGCGGGGCACTAATTGGGCCAGTGTTGCTATTTTGCTGCGAATGAAAAAAAAAAACGAGTTAGATGTTATCGAAATTGTTATGTAAACGAGTTATATGTTAATTTTATTTTGACGCAATACTCTTTAACTCTTTAAAACAGCTACTGTTGTTATTCCTTGAGATAGACCATGCTCTATAGACTACGAGAAAAAAAATCTGTCAAATAAAATGTTTCATACAAAAATTTGAAAAATAATTCTCTTAATTTTATATATTAAGAAGAGATTTCTTTTAAGCATTTCAAACCATTTTCTCAATTTGGTAATCTGATTTAGGGAAGCCCTATAACAGAGATTTCTATTTTTTTCTTGTTCTTAGCTTCTTTTGCCCTTATGAAATGGAAAAAATATTTTCTTGAAATTTTACTTTACATTAAATACATTAATTTTTCAGTCTTTTTCTATCCATCATAAATACAGTTAATTGTATGTAATTTCTTGTATGTACAGCCTAAAATATATTTTGAAATATTCAGAAATATTGAAAATTAAATAAATATGTCTTCTTTTATGGTAATACAGTAATTTCTTTTATTTAATCAAAACATAATAACATAAACATCATCACCACAAACTATATTACTGAAAATAGTAATAAAATGAAAAAATAAAATTATAATCATGAGAATATGGAAAAAAAAAATTTGCACGGTTCTGAGAAATTGAAAATACACTAGGAATTTGTTGATAAAAGTAAAAAACTCTTTAAAATGTTTAAAGAAAAATTGCTTTGTGTGTAAATACACACAAAAAAGAAACGAAAAAGATTAAATAAACTAGTTTTAAGTGAATACTAGAGATAAAAAATAGATAAAACAAGAATTTTTATTAGATTCATTGACTTCTGCGAAACAAGATAGGTATTTTTTTATACCTTTTTCCTCGAAAACAACTAAATAAAATTTAAAATACCATATTCAAATATTCTTCGGCAGTATTGATTGTAAAAAAATATTTATGAAATTTGTGTTTGTGGAATTTAAAATTTTGATTAAAATTTACCAAAAACTATCGATTAATTATTATAGTGTCATATTCATAAATTCTCCTGTAATTATAAGAAAAGAGAGAATTTCCGAAAGTATAAGTGTTGTATATAAATGAATTATCAATGTCAAATATAAATGTATAATCAATATAAAACATAAATGTATAATTGATGTAAAACATAAATGTATAATCAACAAAGACATACAAATATTTACAACACTGCACAATTTCCTCGACATCTGTAAATTCTTAATCTAAAATTTGTAAAGCTGTAAGGAGAATTTATGGCAATATTGTAAGCTGAATAGATCACACTCTCAGAAATAAAACTCGTATTTTTTAAGTTGCAATATTCGTTGAGCAGTAATGTGTTATTTTTTATGTTCATTTTGTCAAGAAATTACTAGATTTTTAATGAAACCCGATGTCTCAAACTTTTTGACGAAACTGTTTCCTTATTCATTTTATAACTGGCATTAAACGTGCGAAACGTACTTGAAAAACTAACTCAAGGAACTCCTCTATAATCCACTGAGACAAATTGGCTTTCATAGAGGAGTACTTGGTAACACCAACCATCATTCGCGTTTCATTGAGAGGAAAACAACGAAAATTTCTCACGGTTAGTTCAAAAACAAAGAGATTCTAACACAAGATCTGTCCAAAGCTGAGAATATTTCATATCAGCACAGAAGTCGATGTGAATCGGGAGTGGAATTCGAATCAAATTACTATCGCTGGGATTCGCTTGTCACTTGAGTTCTCCAACAATTTTTTTTTCATTTGATTTAAAAACTATTCGCACTGTATTATGTGTGGAAGAGATCAAGTACGCTCTCTAGCAAACATTCTTCTTAGAATTAAATCCTGGTTATATCTTAAAACTCATTCCCTCATACATCTTTTATTTTATATTATATTTCGTTAAAAAGTTTGGTTTCTTGATATGTATAACTAAGCCTAATGCCTTAACGAAATTTGTATCCTAAAACAAGTGAAAAAAGAACGTTTTTCCAATTTGGCGAAATGTTAGCTTAGAGCATTTTCCAGAAAACTTTTTCGTCGCAAAAAGAAGAAATTTTTATTAATTTTGAGTATTCTTTCTGAACAGTACGAAAGAATACGAACCAGCAAAATATTAATGGGATTCCGTCCTAAGCTTCTTGTCTCAGGTGCGAAATTTTAATCTTCGATTCATTTTTACCTCTAGGCTAAACATTATGCCGTTTGTGGTTAATTTTTAATCAGAACTATGTATTACGGCATTTAATTTTACTTTTAAAACAAGCAAAAAATTTTAGGAATTGGCCGCAAATAACATGAACAATATTTTTCTAAAATGTTATATTCAACCTTCCTTCAAAATGATACTGCATTCAAATGATAAGGAAAATTTTCAGTTACTTTTTGTAATTTTTGTGTAATTTAACTTCACCTTCTAACCGGCAAATTGTTTACTTGATTCTAAATACTTGAGGTACTGAGCACAGATTCTAATCTCCAAAATCGACAGTATTCTTAAATACATTGGATTGAAAAATATGGAATATATACAGCTGTTTTGCATAAAATATGACAGCTATCCGAAATCAATATAGTGGCACTTGATCATTTTCAATTTCTTTGTTGTTAAGTCATTTCTAAAAAATACTAGCTATTCATGCTTTAAGATAAAGTCTCTTAAGTGTTGATATTGTATTTGACAACGTTATTTGTCGTCTGAAATTTTATTGTCACACTGTTTTATTTTGCGCTTGTAAACTCTAAACTGTTTAAAGCTGACACATAAATTATTAGTTTCTCTTTAATTTCTAAAGCAAGAATAATTTTGGAAAGTTCTGCTTTGCAAGAGCATTATAATTGCTATTATGGAAAAGGTTAAAAAAAATTACTATTTTGAACATTTTTAACACCAATACTTTTTAACTTTTCCGCGTATATTTTTAACAGCAAATTTACCATTTGTAATTAATTTTTTTAAAAATAATCAAAAGCATACAACAATTTTTTGCGATATTTACATTAGTTCTCTTTACGGAATTTTAATTTAAAACTTATTGAAAAGTATTGTTTAAAAGAAAGTTTACAAACACATTAAAACCTATATAAAGATGCAAAAAATGAATTATTAATGTGTTTTTATACTTTTTTAGATAATTCATTCGAGACTAAAATTCCAAATATTCTTATTATTAATTTTGCGCTTCATGAGAAGCAAGATTTTGTATTAACATATGCAATCTATAAGAAGAAAACGATTATTCATTTCTGAAAGAAAAACAATTTTAAGCGACTTACTTTTGTAGTATTTGGGTGAAACATCAAAATATTTCATAGCTATGATGCCAGTTCTCTTATCAAAGAAACAAAACGAATCTATTCCACAGAAGTACCCTTATGGAACATTGAATGAAGCTAGAAAATCGCAGAATAAAATCAGTAATCCATTCACAAATGCGAACAAATCTGTAAAAGACGATAAAAATTTGCGAGCATAAAATCGTTTGCGATGTAAATAACTTAAACTTCCACTAATAATTTTCTAACTGGTAATCCATTGCTTAATTGGGAGTAGAGCAAATATTGAATGGGGGATTGCATTCCAAAAACAAGAGTCAAGGCACACACAAGTGCGTGACTGATTAAGAGGCTGTGAACTTATTTCTTTGTTTCAGTAGACATTTTTACGATTTGATTTCAACTATGAGTGCTCCTTATCAGTGGTTAAAGATTACTGAACAAATCGATATCGTATTATTCCCTTTTTTCATATATTTATATATAAACGATTAGATTTTGAAATAGGAGTTGTTGATAAAAAATTATTTGTGAAAATATGTTGCTTCGTAAAATAGAAATAAGTTTCTCACCTTATTCAAAAAATGATAATAAAATGCATAGCACTTTTAATTGCTTGAATACATTTTAAAAAATAAGTTTGATATACTCTATTTACGGATTTATTAAAATAGCTTTTCAATCCAATTTTCTAAGGATTTTTATTTTTATTTTTTTTTATTTATTTATTTTATTTTATTTATTTGTTTTTTAAATGCGTGTGATTTCTGTAGAACAACAGGGTCAAAACCGAAGGTTTAAAAAAAAGGTTTTAAAACATTTTCTTTTTCAAAATCTGAAATGGGTTGCGTTTTTCTCCATAAAAAAAAATTTAGTTTTTTAAGTTCTAATTTACTGCTAGTTTTTAGGATTATGGGGAAAAGAATTTAAAAATAACTTATTTGATAGAGGTATGTGAATAGCTTAAAAAGACGGATTCTTAATCTTTTTTTCTTCATTACTTTTTTCTATTATCAATTTTATTTTTATATTATCTGCAAAAAAAAAATCAGTACACAAATTAGTACATAAATTATTCACTTTCTCCTAAAGTAAATTTGAAAATGAGCAAAATTTGTTTACAAAAGTTGTACTTCACAATATTAAAATAGTAACCATAAATTATCTACCGAGTGAATATGTCAATAAAGTTTTTAAGAAGGAGAAAACACTTAATTTACTTATCTTATTTTGTTTACTCTAAAATCTATCTTCGTCATTACTTAAGCTTTCATCTTAATAAGTGGAACTATTGTTTGGATTGATATTACGTATTTACAAGTGAGTAAACTGATAACTGATTACAAGCCTGAAGGAAACTTATGGTGTATCGCTTAAATGGATTAGTTTTTGACTTGAAACATACTAATAAACAGTGGGATACATGGTCTTCAATAAAATATTTTATTAAAAATTAGATAACATGTAAACTTGCACACAGTTGGAAATTTCTCAGAAATAACAATTTATTTAATTGTTATTTTACCATATTCAAAGAAAACAGTCAAATAACAGTAAATAGGATGGCATTCAAACTATTAACTGTGAGAAAAATAGTTCATTAATTGCCTTAACCTAATATGGTGAAACAACCAGAATTCTATAGACCAATTAGACCCACCTAATGAAGCCCTTCAGTTCCTTACAGCTGGGTACATGTTATATCCGATAGGGCTAATCTATCAATCTCATGACCCTCAGAACGGGGGTTCGAATCCCAGCGTTGACACCAAAATATTTCTTCCATCCCCTTCAACCCACGACGAGTTTCCAGTGTCCTGTGTTCCCCAATTTGTGACCTTGAACTATTAGAATACGATACTCTCACTCACGCATGCATGACACTATCATAAAGCTGTTCAACACAAAAAGTCTTGTATTACCCATATATTACGATCGGTGAAACAACCCGATAAACTAATGAAACCAAATTCCGTGATTCATTCGATAAAGCACAACTCAACCACATTCTAATACCAATGTCCATTACCAAATGAATAGCCAAGCACATATACTCAGTTAATTTTCTTTCATAAGGTTTAGAAACCATGTTAGTTGTAAATGGTTAAAAAAACATGAAACCATTTTCATCGTATTAAAAACCACTAACACAAAACTAGTTTTATGTTCATGGTTTTTTAATCATACTAGATGTAAACGATTTCGAAACCGTTAAGGTAAAAAATGCTTTTTACCGTTAACTTTACGGTTAATTGGATGGACAGACTGCTGCCGGTTATTTTACCGTAATTTTAGAATGAAAATTCTAACAGTGTAGAAAAGTTTTGACTCTTTAAATAATTAAAATACTTTTTTATGCATTTTAGAAGCTGATGAATGTTCCTAAAAATATCGAAAATGTAGTCATGGACAAAGCAAAGGATTACAATCAATAAACATTTTATATTTTTAATAATTTTAAGATTACTAAATTTCTCTAAAAAATATTTACTTCGTTGAAGACATTTAATTTATAATTTAATGGAAATTCACTTAACCTACAATTCAGGTATTGATTATTTAAAGTATTATTAAACAGTAATCGATATTTTTGGAATTGATTATTACTTGCTGATTTTTTTTTTTCTATTTTTTTTTTTACCATTAATATTGTATTTAGGTATCCCTCTAAATCCAATTCATCATTTAAACAATATTTTTCCATTTTGATTGAAAATGGTCGGAAATAAAGTTTTCTAGTAAAAGTCACCCATTTGAATTTTTTTCTGTTTTGCGCTTTCTTACTAACACCAAACTTTGAAACTTGAAAGTAATTTTATGTACCTTATAAAAAAAGAAACATAATTTTTTAAATACAAATAAAAGTTCCTTAGCGTGTTTTATAGATCGAAAAAGCACAGAAGTTTCAAAAAATAAACAAAACTTTTTAGTATTTTATTACAGTTTCTCACACCAGTAGGAATTGTTGACATTAAATATCGAAATGAAACTTGACTAGTCTTTATAAGCTTCGTGAGTATTTTTATTATATCAGTATGCATATATCTCATAGCAGTACACATTAAAGTTGCTTTTGTTGCCAGCAATTATTGGTAACTGCTAAAAGTTAAAATTTTTGTTGTATTTTTAATCTATTCATGTGGATTTGTTTTGAAAAAATAGAAAATCTATTAAAATTGCTTCAAAAGCCACAAATTTTAGTTATATTAAATTTAAAATTTGATATTTCAGCATGTTGTCACTTATGACGGTGTCAAGTTTGGATAGAACGAACGCATATTCAATCTGGTTAATAAACAGCAGCAGTTTCTTATCCAGTTAGTACTTTTTCGGACATACTTTTGACTTAAATATATCTATGTATATATTTCTCTTACACGGCGACAAGAAAAAGCCTCATTACAACTCCCCGAATGGCAACGCTAGAAAATCGACCAATGATTGCTGCTAAAAGTGTCACATGCCTAATCTAGATGAGGTGGCTCAACATATAGCGCTTTTAGAAACGGAAACTGAAATAACCAGAGAAGAGCATTCTCACCAAATGTGATCTCTTCCGAAATTCACCCTATCAGTTGCGGCAATCTCATACTATTAAGCTAGGCAGAAGTGAGTAGTCTTTGTCGATCGATCTCTATTTTAGTATTTTGTCGAAAGCACTTTTTACACGAATTTATATATTACGAATTTATTTAACGATTTTTGATTTGTATTACGAATTTATTTGTTTTATTATTGTTATTAGTTATTCATTGAAAAAGGAGTCTCAGTCATGCTGTTACCCTTTAAGATTTTATACTACAGCACATTTCTAATAGGTTTAACGAATTACATGTCATTCATTTGAATTCAAATTCCCTTTAATTACTTAGTATTTACTAAAAAGATGTAATTTTTTTAAAAAAAATAAAGTTGTTATATGGATTTGAATGATTGTTTTGAATTCTTAGAATTTTGTGCATTTGCAATTTACCTAAGTTAGTAGCGAGCGAAGCGGGCTTGGTCTGCGAAGCAAACCATTTAAGATTGCGTAGCAATTTTCGGGGGTCGGCGAGCGTTAGCGAGCAGTGGGAGCTGCCCACTAGTTCTTTTAATTGTTATTATAACTGCTTTCCCATGCACTAATCTGTATGGCACTCTAAACTTGCTGTTGTTAGTAGCAATTTACAAAAACATGTCAGATACTCTGAAAAACTAGAAAATTTAACTAGTTTTGGTGATGAAAAGTATATCTCCACTGTACTGTATCTCCACTGTATGATGATATCTCAGTGCTCCCAATATAGTATACAATCTACAAAAGGCTTTTTCATCATCGACATTCTCTTCTCAGTAAATGTTTTGCACTTCCTCTGAATTACATATTAGTAGTGACAAGTTTAAACTTCAGTCACAAATTGAGCAAACATTTTTCATACTTCATTCTTGCGTGTCGTTGTTGTTACTCTTTTGCGTAGCTGGACAAATATCTGCACAAAAGCATAATATCCAAGCTATTTTTTGCCGAAATTATGGTCTTATTATTTACAACAGCCATATTTATCACCAAATTTATTGAAATTGGAGAAGCAATTAATTTACCTGAGATAGTGTTCTCAGGATGTGGACTTATATACAGGGTTATTCATAATTCCTTCCAGGGTTTCGAAGCGTTATAGTAAAAAAACGAAGACGAATATGGCAAAAAAGAGCATATGAAATTATTCCGAAAGTATTCAAGTTTTAATTTAAGCAGTTGCCGGTAGATGGCAGTGGCGTGTACCACTGAAGCCAGTTGTAGTAAAGAAAAATGGCGTTTACAGGCGGAGGGAATTATGAATAACCCTGTATATTATACATAACATGGCAAACAAGGAATTCTTTGGCAACCAGGTATTCTTTGGCCAAGATACATAAAATCACATAGTCAAAACTCTGAGATTTATTGTCACTTACGGACTTATCTTGTTTCAATCTAATTAAAGAGTATTAATTAAGTACACCACCGTTTACCCTTTGCTTACGGCTGGGCTGGTACAATAGGTGGATCAAAATGGCTTCATCATACTAAACGTCGTAAGAAGAAGGTTATTTTTTTTATCAAAAAATCGGCTCTTTCTTTTTGTATTTTCGAAAAGCTTCCTACTGATTGATTACTATACCATAATCACGACCTCAACGCATGAATGGAGCTTCTTAACTATTTTGTTTTTCTATGCAAACATTTAATTCAATCTTCGTAGTAAGGAAAAAAAGTGCAATGTGTTCTAACACGTAGTGTGCTTCAATCTTCATAGCAAGGAAAAAAGTGCAATGGATTCTAACACATAATGTGCTTTGATTTTAAACATAAGTGGGGAAAAAATATTAATCCCTCTGTAGGTGTGAAAAGCGGTTTCCGTTGATTTTTAAGAGGACGCTATGGCGCATGAGAAACTTTTTATGGCAAATTC